TTCACACCCTTCCGATTTATGGGGGGTTGTCTATCAGATTCGGTCCCATCCTATCATGGCAAGTTGTGGATGCCACATACAATCGGATCCCAGCCGATCACACACTGCCGTCTGATTCGATTCTAAGTTCTGACTGATCAGTGATGTGATCACCTTGCTGCCACCGTCCCCCAGCCAAAAAGAACATACGGTACTTATGGTAGCTGTATTTGGGGCAACTTTCAATCTAGGTACAGCGATAACGACACTACATTCTATTCAGGGGACGACGGCAGGGGGGATCAAGTCCCGCTGGAAAACCCAGCAGAATGGATGGACCCCAGGTCTGGATGTACCCCATTTTGAAAACCCCACAGCACAGCACAGCACCTGAGAAGTGGTCAATCCCTCGTCCCCTCGGAGCTGAGTTTTTAAATCCAACAAGGGGAGCCCTTATCATCAGGATATTAAGATAAAATCCTCTCCCTCGGAGTCTTTTCTGTTTGTTTCTTTTCTTTTCTTTTTTTTTGCTTCGAGCGTAATCTTGCGTTTTGGCCTCATCTTCTGAAGTGATTCCGAACCAACCACCGTCACCTGAATAGAACGCCCGTCCATTATCGATGCATCTAGTCTGACACCGTCACCAAATGCAGCCATCAATTCCATTATGGACGGACCGTATTATTCACGTGCAGCCGGTATCCATTTACAGCCAGTTGTTGTGCTGGGCACAGGTCACAGAAATAATACCCAGCTAGAAACAAGTCAGCCATGCCGCCATGATTCCGCTGCTTGGTGCCATGGTAAGCCCCTTGCCCTTTGCCATTAACATACAGGGCCCCATGCGATCAACATCTAATACCCCATCTATGGCTGTTGGTGATAGTTGGTGCCCCCCTCTTCCCTACCTACCATATGGTTGGTGCCCCCTTGGTGGTAGTTGTTGCCCCCCGCCCTACCATATGTTCCTCACCTGACTGTTGCCAACTTGCGGTACTCGTCTTCCTTCTTCCCCCGAACACCGGCTGGTCTGGCCTGACAGTTGCGCTAAATGCAGCTACTATAATATAAGGACTGGGGCTTGCGTCAGGCCGAAGAAGGTATAGCTCTGGCATTATGTTGCACCCCCCACCCACACACACACGAGGTGCAATGCTGAAGGGCCTCACTCCACCTACTCGACACTCCACACGTATCTGGACGTAAACTGGACCAGGTAGATTTGTTTGGATCGAGCTTCTTGAATGTATTGGGACCGTTACCAGTTCCCAATACATTTAGAACGCTGTGCAGTGGAGCGCGGCCCGCACATTCCCATTCTGATATATAGGTGGGTCCCCGCGTACCCCCCCAAAAGTTCTGCAACCCATTCACTACCTGCTTGATCGGGGAAAGGCGCAAGCACATGCTTGGTACTCATCACGGCTTCCAATCGAAAGAATCAGACAGCATAGCGTGATAGCACAACATTGTCAGAGAGATGCTCTACCAACTGGACTTGATCAGTTTGTACAACTCCGAACTGACAGAGGGAAACACAGACCGAAGTTCGAACTTCAGTAATAAGTTCGGTTCGGTCACTCCGCGGGTAGACTGAGGACAGCCTTGGGCACTGGGCCCATTGTTCAAAAAAAAAAAAAAAAAGAAAAGAAAAGACGAGTCAAATACAAATACTACAATTCTGAATTACCTAGCGCCGGTCAGTTCAAAGATGATATCTCAAAAGGTTCTCAAGGCCATCGCCCTTTCAAAAAAAAAAAAAAAAAACAGAGAGAGGCTCGGAGAAACTTGGCACAACAGCTCATAGAAAGAAGAAGAAGAAGAAGAAGAGGAAGAAGAAAGAAGAAGAAAGAGAAGGAGAAGGAGAAGAAGAAGAAAAGAAGGGAGGAAGAAGGAAGAAGAGGAAGAAGCCCTTACTTACCTCGTCCTACCTGGTGTTCCAATCTGAACTCGCTGGAGGAGAAGAAGAAGGAGAAGGGGAAGGAGAAGGAGAAGGAGAAGGAGAAGGAGGAGGAGGAGGAGGAGAAGAAGAAGAAGAAGAAGAAGAAGAAGAAAGATAAAAACCAGTTTCCAGTCCGGAAAAGATTGAGAAGGAGAAGAAGAAAGAGAAGAAAGAAGAAGAAGAAGAAGAAGAAGAAGAAGAAGCTGCAGCCCATGTTTTCACTGTACTCCTGCTCATTCCTCACTTACCTCGTCCTACCTGGTGTTCCAATCTGAACTCGCTGCATCTCGGCTGTTCCCAGATTGCCAATTGAACGCGTCCCAGAATAACAGCATTCACTGCAAGTCAAGCTGCGAGTATATTTTGTGTTTAATTCTCTATATCACATCTGAGGGCGGTGTTGCTGGGCACGAGTTGTGTGCGTCTATCGCCCCGTGCTCGCTCTTCTTGCCTCGCTTCGGCTGAGACAACAGACGTCATGCTCATGCTAGGACTTTCTCTGGACAGAACCTAGGCATATGCCAGTCATGATGTATGAAAGCCCTAGCGTGAGAATGCCTTAAACTACCAGTACAAGGGGCAGGATTCGCCCATTAACGAGCCTACTTTTCAGCAATGTACAGGCCTGCATCTACCCTCATTCCTGGTAAAATGCATTCAGAGCTCCACATAAGTACCACACACACAAGGGTCGCAAGTACTGGTGGTTCGAAATCCACGTCCTCTTGCCAAGCCCCTGCCCTCCATAGACTCACGGCTGCAACATACGTCTCGGTGCGCGGTTGTGGCGCATCTGCTCCATAGTGTCACACTGTCACCATCAACTCATTTCTTTTTTGTTTTACTCTTTTTTTTTTTTTTTTAAGCCCTTGAAACACCATACTTTTTCAGTCACTCACTTATATACTAAAATTTACCGTTTTTCGATTTATGCGTGTCATCCTTACTTGCGCAGCGGCCATTTGCTAATTTACCTTTCTCTGTATCGTTCCAATTTTCCCGAAGGACAAAGAAATCCAGGAAACACCTTTCGGGCATTGAACCCGACATGGATTTCTTTCTTTCTTTCTTTCTTTTTTCTTTTTCTTTTTAGTAATTTTGTTTATGGGCGTCTGCCTGCTCGGGTGAGTCGTAGATAACACAAACAGCACACACAGTCCGTACATGCGGTCTCAAGTCTGGACTCACTCACCCAGCAAGGTGGCTGGCAGAAAAGTCCCACGGTTGCTCATCGAACGCAGGGAGGGCAAATTGTGTTTGCAGTTGGCGACAGCCTGCAGATATCATCATCATTAAGCTCACCTGCCCCAGGCAATTCAGAAATAGTTGGTTTTTATAACTTTACTCATCAAGTGCATCCATCATCATCGGGATTCGAACATCATCATCGGGATTCGAACACGGCTCTGTATTTTCACCAGTTCATGGGTGTGGTCCCCACCGAGCTAGGCTCTTTGGTCCCCCCACCGATTTTCGTCGTCGTCACAGTCCGGTTTTTGTCGGGAGGTTGGGGTGAATGAGTGAGTGCGGCAGCAACAGAGCTCAACCTGAAACCCCTTTGGGGAGAGTCATGCAGCAACGGAGCTCAACCCGAATCTAGCTTTTAATTAAAGCGTTAGTACATCGCCCCACCTATGCAGACTTGAGAAACCCAAATCGAGTCAATCCGAAAATTTGAGAGCGTCAGGGCAAGCAAACGGACCAGCATGCCTGGCAGCACCAGCCAAAACAAAAGAAAAAAGTTCGAAAAACGCTGCGCTGGCATTTCCGCAAGGCTTGGTGGGGGTGCATAGCGAATCAGCCTCGGCGAAAAGAGGCTCGGATGTACTGGTGGTTCAAGCCCTCGAGGGACTGCACCAGTCGCAGACCACGATCAACCACCCCTCCTACAGCAACATTCATGGTTGGATGCACCAGCAAGCAGAGGGGAATTAAGCAGCCCAGGGGAATGTGGGCGTCGAGGCACCGAGGGTGTTGTCTGGAAACGGGGCTGTTCGCAGTGGATTAACCGCAATGGTCCCTTTAGAAGATAGGAATCACACAAGTCCGACTAAGCGCCTCACCGCACCACACTTGCCAATCGTCAACATTCTGAATGTATCACGACAAAGATCATGTCCAGATTCATTCAGACAGTTATGATGGCCAGTCGTGGTGGCGAGGCCCTAATCCATCATACCGATAGGGTTCAGGACCCACCTCTACTACGTGTTCATGCTTGTCATCCTTGTGGTGGGTGATGTTCATCCTTTGTTAGCATGAACATAGCGCCAGTGGCTCAGTGGGGCTGGGCCCTACTGTCTTCACCCGAATACAACGTACGGTCATTATTGCTGTATCTAGACTCAAAGTTCTCCCAAGTACAGCTATAATGACCGTCCATCGTATTCGATGTGAAGACCATAGCCAGTGGGAAACGCAGGAAACAGGTATTGGTATGAGTAGGGGGAGAGTGTCACACCACCAACACTCACCAGTGCACAGCACCAGCAACCGCATGTCTTATAGATCAGTCCTAATCATCGTGTCCAAGGGAATAGTTGCACCAGACACCATCCGCCAACATTTTGAATGCATCTCGACATGCCATTTGTCCATATGGACAGTCAAGGGCATTGCCTTGCAGCTGAAGGGCACTTGGCCATATGTGACGCCGCAAAGAGATTTCTTGCTGCCAAGCAGAGAGAACGATGGTTTGTGAATTTTTTCCCAGCTACAGAAAGAGAATGCCCGGACGAAAAAAAACATCAAAAAAAGATTCATGCCAAAAAAAAATAAAAAAAATAAAAAAAAGATTCATAATGCCAGGAAAGCAAAAGAGAAGTTAGAAAAGATTCATCATGCCAGGAAAGCAAAGCGCAGATGCAGAACAAAAGCAAAACACAGGGGGGGCACCTTTCAAACCTTCTTTGGGAAAAGCGCAATGGAAAAAAAAATGTTTTTACCCCAACAGGCAGCGATGAAAGCGGCAAACCTTGAGGAAGAAATCCCCACCCTCGCACCATGCTTACGGAACGCCAAAAGCCGCTCAGGCTGTCAAAACAAAAGTCCATGGAACTCCTCTGAACAAATATCACAAACACAAAGGAACAATTCATTAAATGCTGACTTCTACACCATCATTTGGCACTCTTGCCGGTCCCCGCAACAATAAACACTACGGTACTCGCTCACTGAATGGGTATCCATCTCCACAGGGCCACAAATGAGACGTGAAATGCTAAACTTGGATATCAGGTTATCAAAAACCACAAGGTCGTAATAATGATGTCCACCTCCAAAGTATGAAAAGTTGGGGAACAGCTGCATTAACCCACCACAGTGACTGTCAGGCCCTCATTTGATACCATGGGTAAGAGGCCTTACCCAACTCCTTATCAGTCCGTCAGTCCGTCGCTCATCTTCACAGTCTGAATGACCGTTGCCCATGTACATGTACAGAATGACTCGTCCCTCACCCCACAGCGAAGTGAGTACTACAAAAGAGTAATGCTGCACGAAAGGCGAAGAAAGGAATGCCCTGCGCGGCACACAGTGCCACCTCACCGAACAGGGTAAGACCATGACGTCAACAAATTAACATACACAGCGACGTCAATGAATTAGCAGCAGAAAGCCCTGTGTCGATTGCCATGTTCTTTTTTTTTCATCCGCGCTGCACTCGCTGGGAGAAACGTAGCAACACCCGAGGTGCTTCTCAATTTCGGCAAAACTGAGCGCCTACCTACCTACAATACGCAGTGGCACATACAGGCACTTCTCGCGCACAGTGGACTGAAATCGACATCCAGCAGAGTTTGGAGATGCATACGATTGATATATAACCGGCAAGCCCACACAAGCGATGGTGGACAGTGTTTGTTTGAAGTTGCTTGCGTTAGCAGTCATACGAAACTGCACATGCAAGCAAGATGCTGTGCGATCTGCACATGCAAGCAAGATGCTGTGCGATCTGCACATGCAAGCAAAGATGTCATACAGTCTGCAAATGCAAGCAAGATGCTGCGCGATCTGCACATGCAAGCAAGATGATGTACGATCTGCACATGCAAGCAAGATGCTGTGCGATCTGCACATGCATCTTCTGAGCTATTCACACTCCATGGGCTTGCCGACTCTGGAGCGGGCCGTGCAAACCAGATAAACTGATACCGCAAGTGAACACCCACAAAGAGCTTGCAGGTTGTGCAAGGATGACAAGCAAGTGGGAACTCTGGCGGGGTTCGGACACCAGTTGCCATCTATGAGGGGTGCGCAGACGATACAACTAGCCCGCAGAGTCGATCATTTACCTGAACCAATGCCACAGCTGGCCACCAATCTTCTTCCAGCATCCAAACATACCATGCATGCAGTCAACGTCCATGCAGAAGAGAGAAGAAATATGGATGAGACTGTAGTACCATTCTTTCTTTCTTTCTTTCTATCGACTGCCATTGTTATCTCCCACAGTTACTGGTGAGAAAGAAAATAGGGCCAAGCCAGGGAAACTTTTAAGCTGTCAGGCACTTGGTCACAATCTCAAACACATTCTCCGACAGCCCATTGGCGGCAGAAATCCTCTCCAGCTGTGCCTTCACAAGTGCTTGACGCTTTTCGTCGTACTTCCGATATCGCTTGAATCCCCCGGCCAGTCTCGCTGCCACCTGTGCGTTGATTGGATCCAATCTGATCACCATGTCTGCTGCAAACTCATACCCACTCCCGTCAGCGGCATGGAAATTGATCGGACACGCCATGAAGGAAGCAACCACCGACCGCACCTTATTAGGGTTCTTGATGTCGAATGACGGGTGCACCAAAAGCTGTCGAACCTTTGCGACATTACCCGGGATTTCAGACATAGCCTGTAAGGCCAACCACTTGTTCACAACAAGTGGATCTTTCTCCCACTGCTTGTAGAACGAGTCCAGTGCACTCTCTCGTTCCTCGCCAGGGTTCCTTGCCAATGCTGCCAAGGCTGCAAATTGGTCTGTCATATTCTTCGCCGAGCCGAAGGCTTCTTTGGCCATCGCCGTGATTTCCGGCTCGTTTAGGTACGAAAGATAGCCCAGAGCTGCATTCTTCAAGCTCCGTCTTGCTTTGCTAGGATGGTCTGGCACATACGGTTCGTCACTCTGATTACTGACATACACCTCCATAAGCTGCGCTCTCAAACGCAATGCCAGCTGTCGAATTACAAACCTCTGAACGAAATGGATTGCGTCAGGATCGGCTACATCCATAAGATCTGCCAGCTCCGTCTGGCTGGGCATTGTGACCGTGCGGGCGATAAGCGCTTTGTCAAGCGATTTGTCAGTGAGGACACTGCCAATGGCATTAACAAAGCCGTCATGCATGACGAGTTCCTCCCCCTTCTGCTGCTTCTTCACCAGATCGAGCATCAGCTTCTTTGCGAGGGTCTGCGCTGCCTCCCAACGATTGAAGGCATCGGAGTCGTGTGCAAGCAGGAAGACGAGGTCTTCGTCTGTTAAATCGTGGAAGAGACGAACAGGTGCACTGAAATCGCGAAGCAGAGAGGGAATCGGTCTCTCCGGAATCCCGGTGAAGGTAAACACGTGCTCTTTCTCTTCCACCCGAAGCACTGCTGTGAAGACATCTTTGCCACCAAGGTCAAGCAACTTCGAGCCATCGTACACAGCATGGAGAGGAATGTCGTTCCCGTCCTTCCCAAGAAGACCTACAGCAAACGGGATGAATGCCGGTTCCTTCAGAGGTTGGCCTGCGGTTGGAGGAACATGCTGGCTGCACCTGAGCGTGAGCGTTTTCGCTTTTTCATCATAGCTCGTTGCCACTGTCAATTCCGGGGTGCCCGCCTGAGAGTACCACCTCGCAAAGTTTCCCATATTCCCGTCATTGGCGTCCCTCATAGCCGCAAGGAAGTCGTCGCAGGTGACTGCCTGTCCATCGTGTCTGCGGAAATACAAATCCATGCCCTTCCTGAACCCCTCTTTCCCAAAGAGGGTCTTGTACATCCTGACCACCTCCGCACCCTTCTCATAGACCGTCACGGTGTAGAAGTTGTCCATCTTTATGTAGCTTGCCGGTCTCACAGGGTGGGACATCGGGGACGCGTCCTCTGGGAACTGGGACATCCTTAAGAACAACACATCGCCGATCCGAGCAACGGGTCGACAATTCATGTCGCAAGAGAACTCCTGATCGCGAAACACGGTCAGCCCTTCCTTCAAGCTGAGCTGGAACCAGTCGCGGCACGTCACTCTATTGCCTGTCCAGTTATGGAAATACTCGTGCGCCACAACCCCCTCAATCGACGTATAATCGGCATCCGTGGCCGTCTCCGGCGAAGCCAGAATCAACCGCGAGTTGAATATGTTCAGACTCTTGTTCTCCATGGCTCCCATGTTGAAATCGTCCACCGCCACAATGTTGAAGAGATCAAGATCGTATTCAAGACCGAACACGTCCTCGTCCCACTTCATTGCCGCCTTGAGGGACTGCATGGCATGCCCTGTTTTCGTCTTGTTGTGCTCTTGAACCCAGATCCGAAGAGTGACTTGCCTTCCCGATTTGGTGACGAAGCTGTCCTCCGTGCAGGCCAGATCCCCAGCAACAAGCGCAAACAGATAACAGGGTTTCTTAAAGGGGTCTTCCCATGTGCAGAAGTGCTTACCGTCCTCAAGGTCACCCTCCGCCACAAGGTTGCCATTCGACAGAAGAACCGGATACTGTTTCTTGTCTGCGACAATGTGGACGGTGAAGACCGCCATCACGTCCGGCCGATCGAGGTAGTACGTAATCTTCCGGAATCCTTCTGCCTCGCACTGTGTGCAGAAATTGCCGCTCGACTTGTACAAACCCTCCAAAGCCGTGTTATTCTGAGGTTCGATCTCTGTTCTCACCTCCAGATCGAAGGCGCCAGGAGGAGGACTCGTAATGATCAGTCTTTTCGATGTGACTCGGTACGCTTCGCTTGCCAACTTATCCCCATTGATCTTTATTTCCAATAGCTTCAGATCACTCCCATCCAGTATCAAAGGCGAAGGATGGAACGGCCCTTGCAATTCGACACCAACATGCCCACTACATTGTGGCTTCACACGAATTCGGGACGACACGAATGTGACCTCTTCGCCAAGCTCAAAATTCAAGTACACCGTCTCAAATGTGTAAGGTGTAGGCTTGTAATCCTTAAGGAAAACTTCCTGCGGCTTATCCTCATCTCCGTAATCCAATTCGACAACCACAACCGGCGCCGCCGCAGCTGGCAAGCAGGTCAGCCTTTGGCCATCAGGACCCATTTTGTTGCTTCTGTGTCCTTCACCGCAATTCAATAAAGGGGGCAGGATTCAAGAAGAGTTTGCGCTCTTTCGTAGCGAATAAAAGGCTCCGGTTGAGGATGACAGGTCCTACCTAGCACCGGGAGATCAAGCACGGGGGAAGTCCGTGCCCAAGACAGCACCGCAAAACGCCCCTGCCACTTCTTCTGAAATAAACCCTGGAATTGATTGTCAGCACATGACCGACCAACATAGCATCATCGTTAGTTTCTAATTCGACATCGTAGGTCCAGAGATCCTCTAGTCAAACATGCAACCGTAGGGAGGGAGACCGACTCCAAGAAGGAGAGGGGGGAGAGACTGCAAGAAGGAGAGGAAGCTGCAACAATAATCATAGAGGTTCGTCCTGTCTGTAACCAAGAACGCTCGTGCGAAAAGCGAGCTCTCAAAACCATGTGCATGTGTGCGGAACCACCATCATACTGGCACAAGATCCATTCCTTTGCCACTTTCTCTCTGCAAGCGTAGCTGCCTTCTGTTCAGAGGAACTCCTCGTTCACCGGACCCTACGCATGACCCCGATAACTACAGTCTTCAAGCAAATATGTCTGGTCATCAGAGCTATTTAGGACAATTTTGAGTCTAGATACAGCGTTGATGACCGTACGTTCTGTTCTATTCAGGTGAACACGCCATTGACAACATGCAAGCAAGCGCATCCATAAACTCCCTACATGGATAGCAACCACATGGATGGTCTTCTGATTTTCATTGCTGGATATGGTGACCTCTTTTTTTTTTTTTTTTTTTCAAGGCAGTAAGAAGTTTGACAGCAGCCGCACAAACGAAGCCATGCAAAGCTCAATCAGCCGCACAAACGAAGCCATGCAAAGCTCAATCTTCCAAACCACCATCTTCACCCGCATGGAACGCATGGTCATCATTGCCGTATCTATAGACCGGTCTCATCACTGCTGATTCAGGTGAAGACAATGGCAGCCGCAGTCAGTCTTACAACATGAAGCCTAGGCTGTTTGTAGACTGAAGCTCTCCCCAAACACAACCGTCATGGGAAGCACTTGCGTCCAGAAAAGACAGTCCGAGTACGTGCAGTTTAAGGGGATTAGACAGACAGCATGAAAACTCTCTTGGTGTTCATAAGAGCTGTGCTTCCTATAATAGCTCTGGCCAGCACCCACCCACTCCTCTCGCACACGAGTGGGCGCCAACCACCACCGTGGTGGGCAGGTCACAACAACTCCCTCACTGGAATATTTTGCTGCCTTGTCAGCATTCCAAGAGCAACAGAAAGCCTTAAGACTGCCAGTACATCGCCCAGGCAAAGTTGAGAATAAAAAAGGAGTCTTTGCAAAAAGTTTCGGCGCTCAGGGCCGCCGGAACAAAATAGCTGGCACCGCCAGCCAAAAGTAAGAAAAAAAGCACTGCGCGGGCATTTCGGCAAAGCTTGGCATGCAGGGGGATCCACCTCCTCAGAAAGGGCCTCAAATATACTACCATCTTCACCTGAATGAATAGAACGCCCTGTCATTATCGCCGAATCTATAGACGGAGAGTTGGCCCAAATACAGCAAAATAACAACCGGGCATTGTATTCGGGTGAAGACGGTAGTAGTTCAATAAATCGCCTCTAGATTGGCACATTGGCTACTTCAACAAATCGGCAAAAAGAGGCTCAGATGTACACACCAGTCGACTCGTAGTTCAACAAATCACCTCTGGATTGGCACATCGGCTATAGAGAAACTCTTGGATCTAAAATGTTCTATTGATATTCTTTAAATTTACAAATATCCAATTCATTATTGTTAAGAATAAATAAATAGAAGAATAATATCTTCAACGGATTACTGCTGCTTTTTTTGAATCCCGACCTTACCAAATGTGTTAAAACTTCAAAATAAAAAGTGCCCACTCCTCATTTTGTTAAATATATATCACCTTTTGATTCTTTTGTAGGCTTTTTCAACATTTGGCATATGAACGTGGGAATAGATCAAATTCATTTCTAGCAGACTATACCTTTTACAACCCCCCAGAGGTCACCCATTACCAGCTGCCAGCTGGCCTACCCTTGTCCAATTGGCCCATAGGATTGATTGACCATGCAACTGCCACAGTTTCTTTCTTTTTTTCCTTTTTTTTTAATAAAAATAAGCTACACTCTTCGGTCAATTTTTCACCTTTTCACAATCTACCTACCACTACTCCTAAGCCTATACAGGGGACGCCTGCAAGCATAGCTAACTCTCACAATTAAGGGGATGCATGTTGCCCCCCCCCCACCTGATCGGCCGTGGTCAGGGGAGTAGGGTGGGGCCACCGGTGTGTGTGTGTGTGGGGGGGAGGGGGGGGGGGGGGGCTAATGCAAAGACCAAGCATTTTTTGCCAGTAGCTGTGCCTCCCATCTACTTCCCCCACCGCCCATCGAGTAGCAGCAGTGCCTACGGCCAGCACTCTCCCACACACCACACACAACCCACTCATGCCCACACTCACACCCGTGTTGGTCACAGACCCTACCAATACCGATCAGGGGCGTATCAAACGGGGACTATCACAGTCGGTCGGCACTAAGTGCGCCTAACTGCGCCGCAGGCAGTTTCCTGTCCTCAGGGTTTAGGGTTTAACAAACTCTTCAAGAAAAAAACTAGTTGTGGTTTAAGGTGCCAGTCCTTCGCGACATCCTTCTAAACATCAGAGCCATACAGAGAAGAAGATTACCGTGGTCCCTGAACAGAGATACCACGCATAAATGGAGAAATGGTCCAAATTTGAAGGGTAAAAAATAAAAAAGATGCCCTACCGAAGGATCGCTGAACATCTCTACAGCCATAGCACTGGCAAATGGACGACTCCATAATATGTGGGCAATGCCCGGAGCCTATAATTCAAAACAAACAAGCCTTTACAAAGTTAAAAAAAGAACAGCGGGCCTAACTCAGTTGGTACACCCTTGGAACTCTTGAAACACAGGCCCAAGTTCGAATCCAGATACTATCAGATGAAAAAAATCAAATCGTTCTGAATTGCCTGGGGCCGGTCAGTTCAATGATATTATCAGAAGGCCATCACCCTTATCAAAGAGGGGGGGGGAGGGGGGGGGGGGGGGACACGGTAAAAAACATCAACAAGGTAAAAGGACTAAACAGATCAAGAACATAACCATACGTAAGAGCTCACCCACTAACGTAGGAACAGGTGGATCTGCAACGAACCGCAGTCTCAGTGCGTCAGTACAGTAGGGAGGGTCCCAGGGCCCAAGAAGGGGTTCAGTAGTTGCTCAATCTGTTCCTTGGCAGAATTCCAGCACCCCAGAGTCCAGTGGGCTAGATGTGACCACTCCACTCCTGCAGTCTGTTTGGGCCCAGGCAATACGGGAGTCTGTTTGGGCCCAGGCAATACGGGATCCAGTATGCAAGTTGTACGCAGTCTGGTTCAATCCAGTTCAGTCACTCTGCAGCCCAGGGTTCCAGTTAGGCCAACAAATGTCGAAGGCCGAGAGGCCCAAGCCAGCAAGGTAAAAAAGGTCAACCTGCAGCCCAGGGTTCCCGTTAGGCCAACAAATGTCGAAGGCCGAGAGGCCCAAGCCAGCAAGGTAAAAGAAAGGTCAACCGGTCTTCATGTCCAGAGCTGCAAACGGACTCGTGATATGTAAAAGCACAGAAGCTTTTGCCGTCAATCAATCCTTCCACTTGCGCAAGTGCGCAAGCATGCTGCGGCCAGTCTTACCGAGTGACCAAGCCAGGCAGGCAGTGACCGTGTAGCATGCCTATAAGGCAAAGATCAGGAACTGACCAGACACAGAGAGAGAGAGAGAGAGAGAGAGAGAGAGAGAGAGAGAGAGAGAGAGAGAGAGAGAGAGAGAGAGAAGACGTTCAGAGAGGGAAGAGAGGCTTGAGGGTCAACGTGTCCTTGTTTGTTGTTGATGCCGGCGACCATAGCCACTACCCAGACAGGTCGATACAAACTCACTTGTCTGACATGGCAACTTCTTTCTTTCTCGGTAACCAGGAGTTATCATATCGCGTGGGGCTTTGGGTTTCACGCAAGTGTGCAACTTGGTGCAAGCACGAGATGGTTAATTGGGGTTTGACAATTGAAGTTCAAACTCATTGCGCATCAGGCATTGAGAGATGGTTAATGGGGGGGCCAAATATTTGCCATTTTCACTGGCAATTTCGGTGCGTCGAAAATTTCAAAAACAAACGATATGCGGCCATAGTGCAAACATAAAAAAAAAAAAGAAACAGGCCAAAGAAAACGAAAAGAAAAACAAAACAGAAAACACTACAAAACGCAAAAACACAAAAACACTGTCCGAGTTAACCTGAAGAGTCCAACAAATTCAACGAGATGCCAACTTTTTTCATTATCGATCCAAGATTCCAAACATGTCAAAACTGGACACACTACGTATATACGTCGCACAAAAAGAATTCCATGACAAAAAAGATGTAAACCGTCCAGGTGATGCTCCCCACCAATAGATGGAGCCTCTCCTCGGGTGCTAGTGCTGCCTGCTTTTACCAGCAGCACTAGCACTGCAGGGGGTGTTAATTAAAAATAAAAAAAATAAATAAATAAATAAAAAGATGTAAACCGTCTTCACGAAGTCTATGATGCCCAAAGGACATGGTCAAGCAGTCGCACAACACAGAAAGTGACCGCTGTACCTCTTCGGGCACAGTAGGGCGGTGCGTATTCAGCCCCATTGCCGCGTAACAAAGCACATTGGGGGATTATTCAACTACCTTCTTTTTTCCCTCAACACAACCCCCCTTCATCATATCATATGACCATCTTTGAGCAAGACAGACAGCCTGTGTACATTCATGAATGATGAGAGAGGCTGTTATGTTCAGGGCAAGAGGGTTGCCAGTACCAGTCCAACCCTGGTCAGCCAAGAGTGTATCTGCAGACTCTGCACGTCAGTTGCGGTAGGTTTAAGGTTTTTCACCACAACAGCCCCTGTTCCACCAAGATGAGAAGATCCAAAACCAAAGCAACTTTACCTCTATTGCAGACAATGAAGCACACTTGAGATGAGCCAATCCAACAACGAAACAGTGTTAACTCTATAGCAAGCAACATGGAGCTCGATAGATCCCCACTGTATCTCTTTCTTAAGTATCTTTACTTCAGTTTTTCTTTGGGGTACCCCTTTTATTTGTTCTTCCAGCTACTATGCCTCTCACGT